GAAGCTTGTCAACTTAATAAGCATCATCGTATGTCATTTCAGTCTAGAGTCAATAATCGTGTGTCTACTCCATTTGAATTAGTCCATTCTGATGTATGGGGTCCAATAAAGAATATTTCATCTAATAAATATCCTTATTTTGTGACATTTATGGATGACTATTCTCGTGTGACTTGATTGTTTTTTATGAAGCTAGGTCTGAATTATTCTCTATATTTGAGACTTTTTGTAAGGAAATAAAAACTCAGTTTGGTTGTCGTATACGTATTTTACGTTCTGATAATGCTCAGGAATATGACTCTGATCCTTTTTCAGCTTATCTTAGTAAAACTGACATTATTCATCAGACTTCTTGTGCTTATACCTCTCCACAAAATGGTGTTGCTGAACACAAGAATCGTCATTTGTTGGAAGTCACCCGTGCCTTGTTATTCCAGATGAATATTCCCCGATATTTTTGGGGTGATGTTGTTCTTACTGCTGGTCATCTTATTAATCGTATGCCATCCTCTGTGTTAAATGGGCAAAGTCCATATTCTGTCCTTTTTCCTAGTAAGCCCTTGTTTTCCCTGACTGCTAAGGTTTTTGGATGTGTCTGTTCACAATTTGATTTCTGGCTGGGTTTGACAAACTTGACCCTCGAGCTACCAAATGTGTATTTCTTGGTTACTCCCACACGCAGAAGGGGTATCGTTGATACAGTTCTTCTTTGCACCGATACTTTACTAGTGTCGATGTCACGTTTGAAGAATCTGTTCCATACTTTCTAGCACCTTCTCAACCGTTGGATCTAGACTTTGAATCATCTCCTGAACCACTATCTCTTTCCTCATCGTCAGATATTCCATTGCCTATTGTATTACCATCTATTTTACCTCTCCGTGTCTACTCTTGCCGTCCTCGCCCATTGACTGAGGTGCCCGTACCGTCTTTCTTGCTGCCTTCTGATCCTGGAACATCAGGTAATTTAGACTATTTACCTATTGTTCTTCGCAAAGGTACTCGTTTGTGTGTTACTAATCATCTCATTTCTCATTTTGTTTCATATGATGTCTTGTCTCCTGTCTTCTCCTATTTTACTTCCCAATTATCAACTATATCTATTCCTAAGCATTTACAGGAGTCATTATCTAATCCGGGTTGGAGGAAAGCTATGGAGGAGGAGATAGATGTTTTACATCATAATGGGACTTGGAATCTCGTTCATTTACCTCCTGGTAAACGAACTGTTAGCTATCGTTGGGTGTATACTGTTAAATTTCATCCAGATGATTCTGTGGAGCGTCTCAAAGCTCGGCTTATTGCGAAGGGCTTCACTCAGACTTATGGGGTTGATTATGTGGAGATTTTCTCCTGTTGCCAAAATTTCCTCTGTTCATAACTTGATTTTTTTGACTGCTAACCTTGATTGGCCTTTGTTTCAGTTAGACATCAAAAATATCTTCCTACATGGTGATTTGGTTGAAGAGGAATATATGGAGCAGCCATCTGGGTTTACTGCTCAGGGGGAGTATGGTAAGAGTGTATGTCGGTTAAAAAAATCTTTGTATGGTTTGAAGCAGTCACCAAGGGCATGGTTTGGTAAGTTTTTAGATATAGTTTTAGAGTTTGGTCTTCTTCGATGTCAGACAGATCATTCTGTGTTTCATAGACAGATAGATGCTGGATATGTCTTATTGGTGGTCTACATAGATGATATTGTGATTACTGAAAATTAGTCTGAGGGGATTGTCAAGTTAAAAGTATTCTTACAAGATCGATTTCATATTAAGAATTTGAGAAAACTCAGGTATTTCTTAGGTATTGAGGTGACTCGATCTAAACAGGATATATGTTTATCCTAGAGGAAATATGTACTTGACATGCTTGAGGAAACAGGTTTGCTGGGTGGTAGACCGATTGATGTTCCTATAGATTCGAATTAGAAATTATTGATGGATGATGGTGCATTGTTTGAGAATTCAGGTCGATATCGCAGATTAGTTAGGAAGCTTAATTATCTCACTATTACTCAACCGGATATTTCCTATGCAGTCAGTATAGTAAGTCAGTTCATGAGATGTCCTAGAGTACCACATTGGGAGGCAGTTACTCATATTCTGCGATATTTCAAACGAGCTCCTAGACTTGGACTGTTATATCGAGTTAATGAACATCTTAGAGTAGAAGGTTTCTCAAATTCTGATTAGGCTGGCTCTTCTTCTAATCGAAGATCAACCACTAGTTATTTTACTTTCTTAGGAGGTAATGTTGTCTCGTGGAAAAGTAAAAAGTAACCTATGGTAACAAGATCCAGTGCTGAGGCTGAGTATAGGGCAATGGCACATACGACGAGTGAGTTGGCTTGGCAACTACACTTCCTCCAGGAAATTGAGTTTCCAGTTCAACTTCCTCTACAGTTGTTCTGTAACAACCAGACAGCTATCCATATCGCTATCAATCCTGTGTTTACGAGATAACCAAGTATATTGAGGTTGATTGTCACTTTATTCGGGACAAGATAGTAGCTGAAAAAATTACAACTTCATTTGTGAAATCTGAAGATCAGCTTGCAGATATGTTTACCAAAGCATTGAGCCGTACACGTCTTACAGCTATTTGTTCCAAGCTTGGATTATATGATATATATAGTCCAGCTTGAGGGAGAGTGTTAAGAATAGTAGGGTAGTATGTGTAAAGTGTTAATAGTAAGAAGGTTTATGTGTAATTCTTATTATTGTAGGTTAATTATAAATACTAGTGATGTATGAGAGTTAGGTTAAGTTTTTAACCTCTCTGTTTCTCCCTAAATATTGTCTCTAATATTATGTTAATCTTTCAAACTTAACAGTATTTATAGTTAACTTATAACAATAAGAATTACACAGACACTCTCTTACTATTAACAATTTACATATACTACCTTACTATTCTTAACAATGAGTATAATTAATTTTGGATCATTAGGCAATGCTCCCAAATTTTCGTTTGATTTATAGTTCCATCTAATTGCGTCACTCTAGCAGTAGGGGCCTGATTAATAGTGTACAAACTAAATTTACTTCTGGTAGGTATGAAAACCATTTCTGGGAATCTAACTGGTGGTACAAAACAGACAATAAATGTTCGACTTCTGTGTTGACCACAAAATTTACCCGGAGGTCGAAATTATTCCAATTCATTATGCAAATGAGGCTCTTGGGAGGCTAATAAAGAGGGATGTGAAGTATTGTTTTGTGATTGATATTGAGAACTCCCTTAAGTGAGATGGGAGGAAGAAAGAGTCCCTCTTTATGAACAGATACATGCAGCAGGTTATGTGAATTGAAGTTGAAATACGGAACACTTAGCTATGGGCAATCGATGAACTGTGAACTGTGAACTGTGAACACTTAGCTATGAACTGTGATTTGTTGAGAAGCTTTTTTTTTTAATCAATATTTTGGGGTTAGTTTTTTTATTTTAATTATTAAACTCTGAATGACTAGGGTATCGCCTTTTGCTTTTTACCCATTAGGTGGTATAAATAAGGAACTTGTTAACTGCAAAAAAATCTAGATTTCTTGTAAACCACCTTTGAATGTGGCTTAATATTTATAATTGTCTGCAGATTGCTGATAGAGTTCAGGCTGTCACATGGTATATTGCTACCTTTAATGTTTCTTTATTTTCATCAAAATTTGAGGATTATTTTTCAATTGTAATCCTGAATTCAGGCTACTTGTTGCATGAGCACATGCTAGGTTATACAGTAATTGGTGAAGCTTTTTAGTTTAGCATCAAGCATTTGATATTTTTGGGCCTCTTTTTCTTCTATTCTTGGGAGTCTAGTGTTAAACTTTTGCGCTTACAGATCCACCTCTATCTACTCTCCCGTCTTTCGACTTGTATCATCCTTCCACAGCTTGAAGAATTAGCAACTCAGCTAATTGACCGNTGCAAATGAGGCTCTTGGGAGGCTAATAAAGAGGGATGTGAAGTATTGTTTTGTGATTGATATTGAGAACTCCCTTAAGTGAGATGGGAGGAAGAAAGAGTCCCTCTTTATGAACAGATACATGCAGCAGGTTATGTGAATTGAAGTTGAAATACGGAACACTTAGCTATGGGCAATCGATGAACTGTGAACTGTGAACTGTGAACACTTAGCTATGAACTGTGATTTGTTGAGAAGCTTTTTTTTTTAATCAATATTTTGGGGTTAGTTTTTTTATTTTAATTATTAAACTCTGAATGACTAGGGTATCGCCTTTTGCTTTTTACCCATTAGGTGGTATAAATAAGGAACTTGTTAACTGCAAAAAAATCTAGATTTCTTGTAAACCACCTTTGAATGTGGCTTAATATTTATAATTGTCTGCAGATTGCTGATAGAGTTCAGGCTGTCACATGGTATATTGCTACCTTTAATGTTTCTTTATTTTCATCAAAATTTGAGGATTATTTTTCAATTGTAATCCTGAATTCAGGCTACTTGTTGCATGAGCACATGCTAGGTTATACAGTAATTGGTGAAGCTTTTTAGTTTAGCATCAAGCATTTGATATTTTTGGGCCTCTTTTTCTTCTATTCTTGGGAGTCTAGTGTTAAACTTTTGCGCTTACAGATCCACCTCTATCTACTCTCCCGTCTTTCAACTTGTATCATCCTTCCACAGCTTGAAGAATTAGCAACTCAGCTAATTGACCATTGGAATTTGATGGACTCTCCCCAAGAGGAGCAGAGCTTGTTCGATCATGTGACCTGTAACATATCATCTTCGGTGTATGAAGGGACAATCCCTAGAGCTCTTGCATTGGATCTGATTGAACAAGTATTTGGAATTCTCTACATTGTACAATCTAAGTTGAATTGACAATGAAAGCCTTTTTATTCATACTTATTTTTGTTGTCAAGGCTGAAGTGGAAGTTGGAAGGCTTGATCAGCTTAAGGCTAGCAGGATGAAGGAAATTGCTTTTAAGAAGCAAGCTGAACTCAAGCTCATATAGAAATTGATTCAGATGCTGCTCGAGAAAAAATAATGGCTGTGATTGATCCTACAAATGTTCAGCCGTCTGAATTATTGGTTGACATGGATAATCAGACACTAAAAGCAAAGGAAAAAGCCCTGAGCAGAAAAGAAATATTGGACAAGATGGAAAAGTTGTTGTCAGCTTGTGAAGAAGAGAGTTGGCCTGAAGACAACAGGGTATTTTCTCTCTCTCTCTCTCTGTCTCTCACATACTTTTCTTGTTCTCATTTTAGCTAAAATTTTGCTGGTTCTCTTGGTAATGCATGTTGTGTTTAGGCATCTTATCTCTGTTTCCTCAACATGTACCATAACCCGCATGCTTGTCAGTCAAAATTCTATTTTTGGGCTTTAGAATTGCTTCTTTTTTTCTTTTTTTTACCCAAGAGTTCCATGGCCAACTAATTGAATTTTCTCTATCGATGGATGATTTGAATTATTTTCACCACTCATGAGTTTCTTTTTTTCCTCTATCTTGCTTATGCATCATATTTTGAAATTTAATGTTGCCGGTTAGGGTAATCCTATCAAAGTATTGGTCTGGGATCATATCCTTTTGCATCGCTAAGGTTGTGATACAGCAAAAGGACGACTTTGTGGGAGTATTTTTCCATTATCAATTCCTGATTGCACTTTTTCCCATCATGGTGTTACCATGCCACTAATGGTGCAGTGATGAAACAGGATGAAAACAAGTATAATGTGAGCAGCGGTGCACACTTAAATCTTCAGTGGGCTAAAAAGGTACAGACCTTGATTAACAGTTGTTTTACTTTTGCTAGCTTCTGGAATATCGACCATGTTGTCAGAGTTCAAAGTGTGCATTGGATTCTTAGATTATGTTAAGTCTGATTATATTAGGTTGGAAAGCTCAAGAGTTTATGGAATGGATTTTAGCATGTGAAAACTTTTGAAATTAACTATGGTCAAAAAGACAGTTTAGACTATGTTTTGTAGGGCATCTTTTTAAATGTTTTATCCTCATGATGTGTTTTTCAAAGTTGATCTTAGCAATGCGAACAAAGCTTTAGCTTCCTATGTTTGAGTTAGCTGTTGCTAATCACAATCACTTTTTTTGTTGGTTTTTTTCTTGCCCAGTAAATGCAGGATTACACTCCTTATTCTTGTCAAAAGATCATCTCATCAACTCCGAGTGTTGGAGATCATCACGGCTGTCCTTATCGTCATTTCAGGTGAACTTTTTTGACACATTCATCTACTATTTAATGACGGCTTCCATTAAACTGGGGCAAATTAATAAAATCTAGCTTAGTGGCACTAACCAAAATAAGTCAATGTAAGAGGATAGATATAGTCACATTTAAGATTGTTACCAAGACAAATGTGCAAAAAATGATGATGTGATTACTTTGCAATTCATAATTGCTGCCTAATGCAATAAAAACTTGCCCACTTTGGCTATTCATTAGGGAAATCGTTACTGTGAAATGGGTTGTTTGTACATTGTAATATCAAATTATGTAATTGGAACTCTAGGAGACCTGTAAACAACGGTTTCTAGCCACAANACTTGCCCACTTTGGCTATTCATTAGGGAAATCGTTACTGTGAAATGGGTTGTTTGTGCATTGTAATATCAAATTATGTAATTGGAACTCTAGGAGACCTGTAAACAACGGTTTCTAGCCACATNGTCTAGTGTTAAACTTTTGCGCTTACAGATCCACCTCTATCTACTCTCCCGTCTTTCAACTTGTATCATCCTTCCACAGCTTGAAGAATTAGCAACTCAGCTAATTGACCANCAAATTATGTAATTGGAACTCTAGGAGACCTGTAAACAACGGTTTCTAGCCACAAACTCTCTGCCTCATTTCATATGATGTATGGTTTGTCTGCTGATTCTGATAGGTTAATTTATCTGAGCATCAACTTAAGAAGTGGATCTATAAATGGATTCCGTAGACCAAACTTACCATTTGCCTATCATTTACCATATGAATTGTTGTGATGACTTGTATTCAAGTCAATTGTTTTTTATATGGACTCTAATTGAAGACATGAGTTTTTATTGGAGTCCTTGATAGACAAGTTTGACCTTAATTAGGATTATCTTAGTTTTATTATTTTAGTGGAATTTAGTCAAACATGGACTTTTGTTGTTTAAACTCAAAGTCTTCNATGAATTGTTGTGATGACTTGTATTCAAGTCAATTGTTTTTTATATGGACTCTAATTGAAGACATGAGTTTTCATTGGAGTCCTTGATAGACAAGTTTGACCTTAATTAGAATTATCTTAGTTTTATTATTTTAGTGGAATTTAGTCAAACATGGACTTTTGTTGTTTAAACTCAAAACCTTGNTGATAGACAAGTTTGACCTTAATTAGGATTATCTTAGTTTTATTATTTTAGTGGAATTTAGTCAAACATGGACTTTTGTTGTTTAAACTCAAAGTCTTCAAGGAGTCTTTAATTTTTTGTCCTACACGTGAAACCACCTCAGTATAAAGACTTTGTGAAGGAATCAAATTCCTTAGTCCAGAAGCTAGATAAAAATGACGTCTTCTCCAGTGAGTTAGTGGTTAGCCATTGACGATGGTACAAGAGTTTTCTTTGTGTATGATAAATTGATATTGCTCTATTTTGTTAAATTCAATAAATATTTTATTATTGGAATAGAGCAAATATCTAGTTTTCTCTTTAATTTGCTCTAAGAACGTTGTAATCTCCAACCTTTCAATAGTGAAATTTTGACGTTGTGTTTCGTTCGTGGATATAGGCTTGCTTGTTGAGTCAAACCATGTAAATCTTTGTGTTCTATTTTTCTATTTCGTTGCGTTATTATTTTACTTGTGATTTGTTTATAACAAATTGGTATTGAAGCTATTGGTTTTGGGATGGCTACTGCAAAATTCGAGATAAAAAAATTTGATGGTCAGAAAAATTTCAATTTATGGCAGATCAAGATGAAGGCATTGCTTCGTCAGCAGGGTTTGGCAAAAGCCATTGATAGAACTTTATCCAAGGAAACAGATCAAACTAAAGTTGTTGATATTGAAGAAAAAACACACAGTGCAATTCAGTTGTCTCTTACTGATGAAGTTCTTCGTGAGGTTATCGATGAAGACAAAGCTGAAGGGTTATGGAAAAAGTTGGAGAGTTTATATATGAAGAAGTCTCTCGCCAACCGCTTGTATCTGAGACAACGGTTGTACACACTCAAGATGAAAGAAAGTACGCCCATTAATTAACATCTTGATAATTTAACAAAATTACTATTGACTTGAAAAATATTGATAGTAAAATTGGGGATAAAGATCAAGCCCTGATTGTATTATGCTCGCTACCTGATTCGTTTGATAATTTTGTTAATTCGATGTTGTATGGGAGAGACTTAATCTCTTTAGTTGATGTGAAATCCTCTTAGAATTCTAAGGAGTTGCGTACTAAATTGACTAGTAAGGGCAGTGATACTCAAGCTGAGGGTTTATTTGTGAAGGGTTGTCATGATAATTCCTCTAATAATAATAGAGGTTGATCCATTGAAAGAAATTCAGATAAAGGAAAAGGAAAAGTTGGATATCGATCACAGTCTAGGAAGAAATAGAATAATGTTAAATGTTTTTATTGTCATAAAATTGGTCATTATAAGCGTGATTGTTTTAAGTTGAAAAATAAAGGGAGACAAAAAAATTCAAATCCTTCTAATTCCTCTAGTGTTGCTGGTGTTGCAGAAGATACATCTGATGGTTCAGATAATGTCCTTACAGTCTCTGATGGACATTTTAATAATGAATGGATTCTTGATTCGGGTTGTTCCTATCATATGTGCCCTAATAAGGATTGGTTTACCACCTATGAGTCAGTCAATGGTGGTTCAGTCTTGATGGGAAATAATGTTGCTTGCAAGACTGTTGGAATAGGTACTATCCAAATTAAGACACATGATGGGGTTGTAAGGACTTTGACAGATGTACGACATATTCTAGAATTAAAGAAAAATTTGATTTTCTTGGGTACTTTAGATTCCATTGGTTGCAGGTTTTCTGCTGAAGGTGGAGTTATAAAAGCCTGCAGAGGTTCCCTGGTTGTGATGAAAAGTAAAAAAATTAATGGCCTCTATGTTCTTCATGGTGATACTGTGATTGGTGCAGCTGGTGTGTCATCTTCAAAAATTCCAGATTCAGATACTACCCATTTATGGTTTATGCGTTTGGGTCGCATGAGCGAGAGGGGCATGGAAGTCTTGTGTAAACAGGGTTTGCTTGACAAACAAGAAATTGGGAAACTTGATTTTTGTGAGCATTGTGTCTTTGGGAAACAGTGCAGAGTCAAGTTTAGTACAGCTATTCACAGGACTAAAGGTACAGTTGATTATATTCATTCAAACCTTGTGGTCCTTCTCAGGTTCCATCTAAGGGTGGTGCTCGGTTCCTTTTGACCTTTATTGATGATTATTCAAGAAAGGTTTGAATATATTTTCTGAAATACAAGAGTGATGTTTTTGGGACTTTCAAGCAATGGAAAACTTTAATTGAGAAATAGACAAGCAAAAAAGTCAAGCGTCTCAGAATAGATAATAGTTTGAAATTTTGTGGAGGTGAATTTAATGAGTTTTGCAAAGATGAAGGCATTGTTAGGCATCGTACTGTCCGATATACTCCACAACAAAATGGGGTTGCAGAAAGGATGAACAGAACTCTTTTGAAGAGAGCACATTATATGCTCTCCAATGTATGATTGTATAAAGATTTTTGGGCTGAGGCTGTCAGCACTGCTTGTTATTTGGTTAATCGTTCTGCATCCACTACTATTGAGTTAAAGACTCCACATGAGGTATGGTCTAGTACTCTTGCCGATTATTCTAATTTAAAAATATTTGGTTGCACTGCTTATTGTCATGTGAATGATGGTAAACTTGAGTCTAGGGCTAAGAAGTGCATATTTATTGGTTATGCTAATGGTGTGAAAGGATATAGATTGTGGTGTTCTGATTCTAAATCACCTAAATTTATAGTTAGTAGGGATGTTGTATTTGATGAATTTTTCATGTTTCATCCGAGAAAGGAGTTTGTAGTTTCTACAAGGAAAGAACAAGATTATAGTAAGGAGGTGGAGCTATAGGTAGAAGCTTCACAGAATGTACTTAAAAGTACTCCAATTCAATTTATTTCAGATTTGCCTACTTCTAGTTGAGGTGATAATCCACAGNGGGAAACAGTGCAGAGTCAAGTTTAGTACAGCTATTCACAGGACTAAAGGTACAGTTGATTATATTCATTCAAACCTTGTGGTCCTTCTCAGGTTCCATCTAAGGGTGGTGCTCGGTTCCTTTTGACCTTTATTGATGATTATTCAAGAAAGGTTTGAATATATTTTCTGAAATACAAGAGTGATGTTTTTGGGACTTTCAAGCAATGGAAAACTTTAATTGAGAAATAGACAAGCAAAAAAGTCAAGCGTCTCAGAATAGATAATAGTTTGAAATTTTGTGGAGGTGAATTTAATGAGTTTTGCAAAGATGAAGGCATTGTTAGGCATCGTACTGTCCGATATACTCCACAACAAAATGGGGTTGCAGAAAGGATGAACAGAACTCTTTTGAAGAGAGCACATTATATGCTCTCCAATGTATGATTGTATAAAGATTTTTGGGCTGAGGCTGTCAGCACTGCTTGTTATTTGGTTAATCGTTCTGCATCCACTACTATTGAGTTAAAGACTCCACATGAGGTATGGTCTAGTACTCTTGCCGATTATTCTANCGGTTTGAGATGCCGAATTCGAAGCCCGTGAGTACTCCACTTGCCGCTCACTTTAAGCTTTCAGCAACTTTATCACCACAGAGTGAGAATGATAAGCAATTTATGTCTCGTGTTCTTTATTCTAGTGCAGTTGGAAGCATCATGTATGTTATAGTTTGCACTCGTCCAGATATTTCACAAGCAGTTAATGTGGTTAGCCGTTACATGGCTAATCCTGAGAAAGTTCATTAGCAGGCTGTGAAATGGATACTTTGTTATTTGAGAGGCACTACAGATGTTGGTTTAGTATTTGGTAGAAGAGATGACATCGATTCTACAGTTGTTGGTTTTGTTGATTCAGATTATGCGGGTGATCTAGATAAAAGGAGATCTCTGACAAGTTATGTTTTTACTTTATTTGGGTGCACTGAAAGTTGGAGGGCAATCCTACAGTCTACAATTGCTTTGTCTACCACAGAGGCAGAATACATGGCAGTATCAGAGACAGTTAAAGAAGCAATTTGGTTAAGAGGTTTGGTCTGTGATTTGGGCTTGGAAAAAGAGGTAACTACTGTGTTTTGTGATAGTCAAAGTGCAATACATTTGACCAAAAATCAGATGTATCATGAAAGGACCAAGCACATTGATGTTAGGTATCACTTCCTTCGTGAAGTAATGGCTCAAGGTATTGTCACAGTGAAAAAGGTTGCTACAGCGGAGAACCCAGTAGATATGTTTACTAAGCCGGTACCAGTTTTCAAGTTCAAGCATTGCTTGAACTTGATTGGTGTCTACACTATTTGAGTGTACCCTTCGGGGTATTTGATGAAAGCAGCAATCAAGTTCACATTGGTTGGATGGATAGATGGAATACAAGTCAAGGTAGAGATTTGTTGTGATGACTTGTATTCAAGTCAATTGTTTTTTATATGGACTCTAATTGAACACATGAGTTTTCATTGGAGTTCTTGATAGACAAGTTTGACCTTAATTAGAATTATCTTGGTTTTATTATTTTAGTGGAGTTTAGTCCAACATGGACTTTTATTGTTTAAATTAGGAGTCTTTGATTTTTTGTCCTACACGTGAAACCTCCTCAGCATAAAGACTTTGTGAAGGAATCAAATTCCTTAGTCTAGAAGCTAGATAAAAAGGGGCGTCTTCTCTAGTGAGTTAGTGGTTGGCCATTGACGACGGTACAAGAGTTTTCNTTGAAGAAATCATTATATGGTTTGAAACAGTCTCCAAGGCAGTGGTACAAACGTTTTGACACCTTTATGGTAGATCATGGTTACTCTAGAAATAATTATGATAATTGTGTGTATCACAGATAGTTGTCAGATGGTTCTTTGATATATTTATTGCTTTATATGGATGACATGCTTATTGCTGCTAAGAGTATGTTAGAGATTGATAGGTTGAAGAAACAATTGAGTTCAGAATTTGAGATGAAAGATTTGGGTGCTACAAAGAAAATTTTGGGTATGGAGATTCACAAGGATAGAAGAGCAGGTATGTTATATTTATCTCAAAAGAAATATATTGAGAAAGTTATTGAGCGGTTTGAGATGCCGAATTCGAAGCCCGTGAGTACTCCACTTGCCGCTCACTTTAAGCTTTCAGCAACTTTATCACCACAGAGTGAGAATGATAAGCAATTTATGTCTCGTGTTCTTTATTCTAGTGCAGTTGGAAGCATCATGTATGTTATAGTTTGCACTCGTCCAGATATTTCACAAGCAGTTAATGTGGTTAGCCGTTACATGGCTAATCCTGAGAAGGTTCATTAGCAGGCTGTGAAATGGATACTTTGTTATTTGAGAGGCACTACAGATGTTGGTTTAGTATTTGGTAGAAGAAATGACATCGATTCTACAGTTGTTGGTTTTGTTGATTCAGATTATGCGGGTGATCTAGATAAAAGGAGATCTCTGACAAGTTATGTTTTTACTTTATTTGGGTGCACTGAAAGTTGGAGGGCAATCCTACAGTCTACAATTGCTTTGTCTACCACAGAGGCAGAATACATGGCAGTATCAGAGACAGTTAAAGAAGCAATTTGGTTAAGAGGTTTGGTCTGTGATTTGGGCTTGGAAAAAGAGGTAACTACTGTGTTTTGTGATAGTCAAAGTGCAATACATTTGACCAAAAATCAGATGTATCATGAAAGGACCAAGCACATTGATGTTAGGTATCACTTCCTTCGTGAAGTAATGGCTCAAGGTATTGTCACAGTGAAAAAGGTTGCTACAGCGGAGAACCCAGTAGATATGTTTACTAAGCCGGTACCAGTTTTCAAGTTCAAGCATTGCTTGAACTTGATTGGTGTCTACACTATTTGAGTGTACCCTTCGGGGTATTTGATGAAAGCAGCANCTTTCAGCAACTTTATCACCACAGA